CTTGAAAGTCACATGATGTTACTTGTACCACATTCTATTGGTCAAATTAAGTTAGAGGGTGAAGGCCAGTCTACATTCAAGGACTCCACCCCTTAACAGGAGGGGCTGCAAAGATCCTTTGGTCATATTTAATCTATCACAGGCCTATAGGCAGGAAATATAAAAGAGTGAAATAGGCCCATTGTGAAAAGATAGGGACTGGAAAGCATGATCTGTTACCAAGTAACACATCGGTTGAGTGTGGCCAAATTTTCTAACTTTTGAAAAGAAGTTGGAAATCTAGATTAAAAAATATATACGAGTATATAAACAGGCTTTTTTTTTTCAAGCAGTTTTAGGTTTACAGAAAAATTACTCAAAATAACAGCTTCCATATACCTCTTCTTAACTCCCTAAACTTCCTCCATAATTAACATCTTTTACTGATGTGGTAACGATGAAGCAATACCAATACATTCTTATTAATGAAAAGCCACAGTTTATAACACGAGGATTCTCTCTTGGAGTTCTATGGATTTTATGAGTTTTGACTAATGCATAATGTCTCATATTTACTATTACAGTATCATACAGAATAGTATCACAGGCCTAAAAGTGCCCTGGGCTCCACCCACTCAACCCTCCTCCCACTCATCTTTTTACTAACTCTATAGTTTTGCCCTTTTCAGAATGTCATGTAGTTGGCATTACACCATCCCGCAGTCTTTTCAGAATGGCTTCAGTCACTTAGTAATGTGTATTTAAAGTTCATCCATGTCTGTACATGACTTGATAGCTCATTTCTTTTTATCACTGACTAATATTCCATTGTCTGGATGAACCACATGAATGCCTCCATCTATTCACCTACGGAGGTGCATCTTGGTGAGTTCCAAGTAGGGGCAATTATGAATAAAAGTGCTATAAACATTTGTGGGCAGGCTTTTGTGCGGACATAAGTTTTCGGTTCATTTGGGTAAACACCCAGGAGTGTGATTGCTGGATTGTGTCATATGATAAGTCTTAGGTTTAGTTTTGTAAGAAGCTGCCAAATTATCTTCCAAAGTGGCTGCCTCATTTTGCATTCCCACCAGCAATGCAGGAGAGCTCCTCAAGTTCCATATCATCTCCAGCATTCAGTGTCAGTGCTTTGGATTTCAGTTATTCTCATAGGTGTGTAGTGGTGTCTCATTGTGATTTGAATTTGCAATTCCTTAATGACATAAGATGTGGAACCTCTTTTCATGCGCTCATTTGCATCTCTAGGTCTTCTTTGTTGAGGTGTCTGTCCAGAGCTTTTGCCCAGTTTTTTAACTGAGTTGTTTGTTTACTTACTGTTGAATTTAAAAAGTGCTTTGTATATTTTGGACGCTGGCCTTTTTATCAGATAGTTTTTTGTTGTTGTTTTGTTTTATTTATTTATTTTTTTGGCACATATTTTCTCCTAGACTGTGGCTTGGCCTTTTATTCTCTTAATAGTGTTTTTTTGCAGAGCACAAGTTTTTAACCTACATGAAGTCCAACTTACCAATTTTTTCTTTCATGGATTATGCTTTTGGTGTTTTATCTAAATAGTCACTGCCAAACCCAAGGTCACCTAGATTTTCTCCTATGTTGTCTGCTAGAAATTTTATAGTTTGACATTTTACATTTTGATCTATGATACATTTTGACTTAATTTTTATGAAAAGTGAAAGGTGTAAAATCTGTGTTTAGATTCAGTTTTTTTTTAATGTGGATGTCCAGTTGTTCCAGTATGAAATCTGGATTTTTGTGAGAAATGTCCTGATAGTGTGTGTGTGTGTGTGTGTGTGTGTGTGTGTGTGTGTGTGTGTGATATAGATATAGTGGTAGGGGAAAACTAAGTTCCTCCTCCCTCAACACAGATGTCTGTAGGCTGTTTTCTCCATCTTGGATCATCTCTCATCCCCCTGACCTGGAATGCCCTTCATCATAAGCCTTACCTAATGCCCACCACATAATCTTACCTAATGCCCACCTCACAGTTCGTCTACTCCACCATTTCCAATGCTCTGACTGGTAAATGCACCAACAAATATTCAGTTAATAGTGGTTGCACTCTAAACACACTTAAGAGCTATAAGTCCAATTTAGCACTGTCTTTCCTCCTTAGCAAGACTGTAAGCTCTTAGGGAGGCAAGAATCCTCTTTTCCTTATTTACTCTAGACAGCGTAGCGTAGGTCTGGGCACAGAACAGGTCTTTAATACTTGCTGGCAATTTTAGACTAGCGGGACTTGGGTCCTGGCTTACCAAGTATCCTTTGATCTTTCAGGAGTGATGCCTACTTTCAGGAGGTCTAGCTGAGAACCTGCCAAAGGCTTAAACCCTGCAGCCTTGCCTCGGCACAGTCAGAAGGATGGCACTCTAATTTTGACCCGATTCAACATGATGCCCACACAAACAAAACGGCCTTATCTCCTTGGAGAATTAGAAAATCAGACAGCAAAATGTGGCCTCAGAAGTACCAAAGGATCTGAGTCCCAAAGCATCTCTTTCATTATGATTGTTACGTGGTCATAGTGATCATTCCAGTCATTACGAAAATAATGAAAAACAAATGAATGAAATAAAAAGAAGTACAAACAGTTTTCTGGTGACTGGTCCCCCACCTTATGCTTAACTAATAGTCAAGCTAATGGTAATCCCCCACCCCCGACTTTGTTTTTTGTTTTCATCTGCCTCATTAAGTGTTCCTGTCGAAGGATCTCTGTGCACTGCAAAGTGAACAAAGATGGAGCGAATGGAAGGGTCCAGAGCTGAGGATGATCCCCAAGTGGTCTCAGTTGGTTGCTGCTAAGCCCAATCACCATGGCGTCCTGTGCTGACACACTTCTCAGAGTTCATGCATGCAAGGAAAGTGCGAGGGCCGCTGCTCATCAGGACTTCCCAGCTTCTGCTCGTGGCTCATTCGGGCAAATCCCGGGCAGAAAAAACTGGGGAGGCACAAACTGGGGAACGGCATCTCACTGCCCTGGGTGTCAGCAGTGGTCCGTGAACCTGCTGCAGAGTCACAGGACGTCGGCCATGGCCCTCCTTCAGGGCTATGGCAAACTCTGGTGTCGGCGCCAGCATCGCACTGCTTCTACCTCAAGCACAGGCTTCCAGGTATCAGTCAGACATTCACTCATCTTGGAAGGACAACGGTCTTGTTGGAAACACACCCACACTCCTACCTCGAATCCTCCTCCAAAGGCAAACAGGTAGAACTGTTCCTGGCATCATCCTCCCTTTTCTGGGAAAATCCCCCCAAATCTGTAGCAGGCAGGGAACAATTCCGTTGGACAATATAAGAAGAGGGTGGAGTGACCCCCCCGCCCAGTGCTGTATGTAAAACAAATCACATCTAGACAACTGAAAAATAAAAAGCCCAAGACCCTTCTTCTAAGACCTGTTTAAAAGACATACCCTCTTTCTACTTAGCTGCTAAAGCAGCCTCTTCGGACACACTGTACTCCACGGTGACTCAGGGGGCTCCCAGCTCCCAGCTGCTGAACACAAAGACTACTAGTTGGTACTGCGGCTAAAATTAGGGGATGTGAAGCAACCTGGGCTAGAAATTCAACCTTGCTGTGGTTGAACAATGGATAACTTCAGCAACAGATAGGTATAGAGGTTTAAACAAAATGGAAAAATAAAATAAAAAGAAACAAAGTTCTCCTTAAAGTCTAGGAAAGTGGGCCTAGGAGCACCTGAGAAAGCCACACAGCAAAGGGAGGAGGCTCCACGGGCAAGTCCAGCCCTGGGAGCCAGAGAAAGTCACTGCCCATATGCTAAACAAGCTCAACTATTTTGAGCTCTTGAGGCACTAGTCCGCTTCTTGGTGAGCAAACACAATATCTACCTAGTAACAGGTCAGTCATTAAACTTCCTGAATATCAAGATAGGATTGATTTAAAGCCAACAACTGAAAAGAGACCTGATTTTCTCAAAGGATCATTTCATCTTACACTGCTGCTGCGTTTTCAGTACTTCTTAAGTCCATTTCAGAGTAATTTTGCCTCTCAAACCTTAATATCCCTTAGTCTCTGCTAGGGTAAAATTGTTGGGCTGATTTTGCAGCTCTGTAAATATCGTAAAGGGCTGGAATGGCAAGGTATGATCATGCACCCATGGCATGGAGACGGGCAGGAAAAGGTTCTGACATCCTGGTGTCCAGCCAAGTGAAACCATCGCCCTGAAGGCGATCTGTGGCTGGACCACAAGCTATTTTCACTAGAGAAAGGCCAAGTCAACTCTGTTTTTCCTGTGTCTTATACAACCGTAGCCTAAGAGTCCAGCTGTTCTGGTCACGGCCTCACATTCTTCCTGCAAAGGCTGGAGTTGACACGATTTATGGGGTGGTCTGAGGAAGCATGCTAAGCAATGTGGGATGAAACCACAGGGGAGAAGCTTCTGGCCCTAACAGCGCAGATCTAATTTCCATGGAGGATTGGACAAACAGCCCCCAAACTGCCGGTCTTGGCTGTGTCTACTCAATAGCCAAAAATGAAACCACCAAGTTCTTCTCTTTCATAGTCCCTGGTATCAGTGATCAGTCATGCAAAGGTTTGAGGATTCGAAGACTCAAAGGGCTACTGGGGGGGCTCCACTTTCTGGAAGTGGACACGGAGGTAGCACTGGACATTCTCAACATAGTCAGGGGGAAGGGAAATCGGGACAACATGAATGAGTGAAACAGACTTGGTTACTGCTCTACTGAGCTACTATGGATGTTTATAAAACTAAAAGAAATTGCTTTCCATGCCCAGCAGCACAGCCAACAGCCATCACCAAAGCCATCTCAGCAGGATGGTAAATCAAAGGTTACCGAGGCCAAGAAGCAGTATGTTACGAATAATGATTAATTCACAACCAACTAGCCAAGCTCCAACTTTAGGGAGAAGGTGTCAATCATGTTCATAAGACGACACTCAATGTCAGATGGGGCCAGAGAGCAAGTCCCGGGCAGAATAGCTGACCAAGGGCCTACCATGGCAGGCACGTGGACATCAGACTTACAGTGAGTTGGGCCTGGTGGGTTTGAGCATATCTAGATCAGGGTCACTGGAGTTCATGTTGGGCTGTAAGCTGCTGCTGGAATTAAGGATGCTGTTTGTATTTGATGAGACGACAGATTCCAGACTGGAGTTGATGATGCTGTTTCTTTGCTCCTCTGGNAAGTTGGAAATCTAGATTAAAAAATATATACGAGTATATAAACAGGCTTTTTTTTTTCAAGCAGTTTTAGGTTTACAGAAAAATTACTCAAAATAACAGCTTCCATATACCTCTTCTTAACTCCCTAAACTTCCTCCATAATTAACATCTTTTACTGATGTGGTAACGATGAAGCAATACCAATACATTCTTATTAATGAAAAGCCACAGTTTATAACACGAGGATTCTCTCTTGGAGTTCTATGGATTTTATGAGTTTTGACTAATGCATAATGTCTCATATTTACTATTACAGTATCATACAGAATAGTATCACAGGCCTAAAAGTGCCCTGGGCTCCACCCACTCAACCCTCCTCCCACTCATCTTTTTACTAACTCTATAGTTTTGCCCTTTTCAGAATGTCATGTAGTTGGCATTACACCATCCCGCAGTCTTTTCAGAATGGCTTCAGTCACTTAGTAATGTGTATTTAAAGTTCATCCATGTCTGTACATGACTTGATAGCTCATTTCTTTTTATCACTGACTAATATTCCATTGTCTGGATGGACCACATGAATGCGTCCATCTATTCACCTACGGAGGTGCATCTTGGTGAGTTCCAAGTAGGGGCAATTATGAATAAAAGTACTATAAACATTTGTGGGCAGGCTTTTGTGCGGACATAAGTTTTCGGTTCATTTGGGTAAACACCCAGGAGTGTGATTGCTGGATTGTGTCATATGATAAGTCTTAGGTTTAGTTTTGTAAGAAGCTGCCAAATTATCTTCCAAAGTGGCTGCCTCATTTTGCATTCCCACCAGCAATGCAGGAGAGCTCCTCAAGTTCCATATCATCTCCAGCATTCAGTGTCAGTGCTTTGGATTTCAGTTATTCTCATAGGTGTGTAGTGGTGTCTCATTGTGATTTGAATTTGCAATTCCTTAATGACATAAGATGTGGAACCTCTTTTCATGCGCTCATTTGCATCTCTAGGTCTTCTTTGTTGAGGTGTCTGTCCAGAGCTTTTGCCCAGTTTTTTAACTGAGTTGTTTGTTTACTTACTGTTGAATTTAAAAAGTGCTTTGTATATTTTGGACGCTGGCCTTTTTATCAGATAGTTTTTTGTTGTTGTTTTGTTTTATTTATTTATTTTTTTGGCACATATTTTCTCCTAAACTGTGGCTTGGCCTTTTATTCTCTTAATAGTGTTTTTTTGCAGAGCACAAGTTTTTAACCTACATGAAGTCCAACTTACCAATTTTTTCTTTCATGGATTATGCTTTTGGTGTTTTATCTAAATAGTCACTGCCAAACCCAAGGTCACCTAGATTTTCTCCTATGTTGTCTGCTAGAAATTTTATAGTTTGACATTTTACATTTTGATCTATGATACATTTTGACTTAATTTTTATGAAAAGTGAAAGGTGTAAAATCTGTGTTTAGATTCAGTTTTTTTTTAATGTGGATGTCCAGTTGTTCCAGTATGAAATCTGGATTTTTGTGAGAAATGTCCTGATAGTGTGTGTGTGTGTGTGTGTGTGTGTGTGTGTGTGTGTGTGTGTGATATAGATATAGTGGTAGGGGAAAACTAAGTTCCTCCTCCCTCAACACAGATGTCTGTAGGCTGTTTTCTCCATCTTGGATCATCTCTCATCCCCCTGACCTGGAATGCCCTTCATCATAAGCCTTACCTAATGCCCACCACATAATCTTACCTAATGCCCACCTCACAGTTCGTCTACTCCACCATTTCCAATGCTCTGACTGGTAAATGCACCAACAAATATTCAGTTAATAGTGGTTGCACTCTAAACACACTTAAGAGCTATAAGTCCAATTTAGCACTGTCTTTCCTCCTTAGCAAGACTGTAAGCTCTTAGGGAGGCAAGAATCCTCTTTTCCTTATTTACTCTAGACAGCGTAGCGTAGGTCTGGGCACAGAACAGGTCTTTAATACTTGCTGGCAATTTTAGACTAGCGGGACTTGGGTCCTGGCTTACCAAGTATCCTTTGATCTTTCAGGAGTGATACCTACTTTCAGGAGGTCTAGCTGAGAACCTGCCAAAGGCTTAAACCCTGCAGCCTTGCCTCGGCACAGTCAGAAGGATGGCACTCTAATTTTGACCCGATTCAACATGATGCCCACACAAACAAAACGGCCTTATCTCCTTGGAGAATTAGAAAATCAGACAGCAAAATGTGGCCTCAGAAGTACCAAAGGATCTGAGTCCCAAAGCATCTCTTTCATTATGATTGTTACGTGGTCATAGTGATCATTCCAGTCATTACGAAAATAATGAAAAACAAATGAATGAAATAAAAAGAAGTACAAACAGTTTTCTGGTGACTGGTCCCCCACCTTATGCTTAACTAATAGTCAAGCTAATGGTAATCCCCCACCCCCGACTTTGTTTTTTGTTTTCATCTGCCTCATTAAGTGTTCCTGTCGAAGGATCTCTGTGCACTGCAAAGTGAACAAAGATGGAGCGAATGGAAGGGTCCAGAGCTGAGGATGATCCCCAAGTGGTCTCAGTTGGTTGCTGCTAAGCCCAATCACCATGGCGTCCTGTGCTGACACACTTCTCAGAGTTCATGCATGCAAGGAAAGTGCGAGGGCCGCTGCTCATCAGGACTTCCCAGCTTCTGCTCGTGGCTCATCCGGGCAAATCCCGGGCAGAAAAAACTGGGGAGGCACAAACTGGGGAACGGCATCTCACTGCCCTGGGTGTCAGCAGTGGTCCGTGAACCTGCTGCAGAGTCACAGGACGTCGGCCATGGCCCTCCTTCAGGGCTATGGCAAACTCTGGTGTCGGCGCCAGCATCGCACTGCTTCTACCTCAAGCACAGGCTTCCAGGTATCAGTCAGACATTCACTCATCTTGGAAGGACAACGGTCTTGTTGGAAACACACCCACACTCCTACCTCGAATCCTCCTCCAAAGGCAAACAGGTAGAACTGTTCCTGGCATCATCCTCCCTTTTCTGGGAAAATCCCCCCAAATCTGTAGCAGGCAGGGAACAATTCCGTTGGACAATATAAGAAGAGGGTGGAGTGACCCCCCCGCCCAGTGCTGTATGTAAAACAAATCACATCTAGACAACTGAAAAATAAAAAGCCCAAGACCCTTCTTCTAAGACCTGTTTAAAAGACATACCCTCTTTCTACTTAGCTGCTAAAGCAGCCTCTTCGGACACACTGTACTCCACGGTGACTCAGGGGGCTCCCAGCTCCCAGCTGCTGAACACAAAGACTACTAGTTGGTACTGCGGCTAAAATTAGGGGATGTGAAGCAACCTGGGCTAGAAATTCAACCTTGCTGTGGTTGAACAATGGATAACTTCAGCAACAGATAGGTATAGAGGTTTAAACAAAATGGAAAAATAAAATAAAAAGAAACAAAGTTCTCCTTAAAGTCTAGGAAAGTGGGCCTAGGAGCACCTGAGAAAGCCACACAGCAAAGGGAGGAGGCTCCACGGGCAAGTCCAGCCCTGGGAGCCAGAGAAAGTCACTGCCCATATGCTAAACAAGCTCAACTATTTTGAGCTCTTGAGGCACTAGTCCGCTTCTTGGTGAGCAAACACAATATCTACCTAGTAACAGGTCAGTCATTAAACTTCCTGAATATCAAGATAGGATTGATTTAAAGCCAACAACTGAAAAGAGACCTGATTTTCTCAAAGGATCATTTCATCTTACACTGCTGCTGCGTTTTCAGTACTTCTTAAGTCCATTTCAGAGTAATTTTGCCTCTCAAACCTTAATATCCCTTAGTCTCTGCTAGGGCAAAATTGTTGGGCTGATTTTGCAGCTCTGTAAATATCGTAAAGGGCTGGAATGGCAAGGTATGATCATGCACCCATGGCATGGAGACGGGCAGGAAAAGGTTCTGACATCCTGGTGTCCAGCCAAGTGAAACCATCGCCCTGAAGGCGATCTGTGGCTGGACCACAAGCTATTTTCACTAGAGAAAGGCCAAGTCAACTCTGTTTTTCCTGTGTCTTATACAACCGTAGCCTAAGAGTCCAGCTGTTCTGGTCACGGCCTCACATTCTTCCTGCAAAGGCTGGAGTTGACACGATTTATGGGGTGGTCTGAGGAAGCATGCTAAGCAATGTGGGATGAAACCACAGGGGAGAAGCTTCTGGCCCTAACAGCGCAGATCTAATTTCCATGGAGGATTGGACAAACAGCCCCCAAACTGCCGGTCTTGGCTGTGTCTACTCAATAGCCAAAAATGAAACCACCAAGTTCTTCTCTTTCATAGTCCCTGGTATCAGTGATCAGTCATGCAAAGGTTTGAGGATTCGAAGACTCAAAGGGCTACTGGGGGGGCTCCACTTTCTGGAAGTGGACACGGAGGTAGCACTGGACATTCTCAACATAGTCAGGGGGAAGGGAAATCGGGACAACATGAATGAGTGAAACAGACTTGGTTACTGCTCTACTGAGCTACTATGGATGTTTATAAAACTAAAAGAAATTGCTTTCCATGCCCAGCAGCACAGCCAACAGCCATCACCAAAGCCATCTCAGCAGGATGGTAAATCAAAGGTTACCGAGGCCAAGAAGCAGTATGTTACGAATAATGATTAATTCACAACCAACTAGCCAAGCTCCAACTTTAGGGAGAAGGTGTCAATCATGTTCATAAGACGACACTCAATGTCAGATGGGGCCAGAGAGCAAGTCCCGGGCAGAATAGCTGACCAAGGGCCTACCATGGCAGGCACGTGGACATCAGACTTACAGTGAGTTGGGCCTGGTGGGTTTGAGCATATCTAGATCAGGGTCACTGGAGTTCATGTTGGGCTGTAAGCTGCTGCTGGAATTAAGGATGCTGTTTGTATTTGATGAGACGACAGATTCCAGACTGGAGTTGATGACGCTGTTTCTTTGCTCCTCTGGAAAAAAACAAACGGCCACAAGCTCCATATTAGTATCATTCCATAGAGATAGCCTGTTCCTACACATACAAAAATTTACAAACAATGCGACTGGATTGAGATCTCT